AAATTCATAGATATGTTTCAGTCCATGGTCTACTTCCTGACTGCCAGTCTGGGTTCAGACCTGGAAGAAGTACTGAAACATCACTAGCTACGGTAACCTCAGATATTTTAATGGCGTATGATCAAGGTCTGTCTAGCTCTCTTTTGGATTTTTCCAATGCTTTTGACACTATCAATCACGAATTGTTGTGCTCAAAGCTCAATTACTATGGTTTTACTGACCCCTCACTGTTTTTAATATGGAGCTACTTGCTTAGACGCTCCCAGAAAATTCATATTGATGGTTCTTATTCGGCAAGCACAGATATCCTGTCAGGAGTACCACAAGGATCCATACTCGGACCTTTGTTATACAGGGTGGCGCAGAGGAAACGCACGATTTTCACCTAAGCATAACATTTTTTATTTTCAAGATAACTTTGTTTCAGTTACAGTGAACATAACGTGCTGAAGTAACTGTTACTGCTCTTTCTTCCTCTTCAACAAAGTAAGGACCAACGATACCTAATTTACTGATTCCGCACCACACAGTTAATTTTTGACTATGCAAGGGTCGTTGGTGTAGCTCTCGTGGATTTTCGGCCGTCCAATACCTACAGTTCTGCTTGTTTACATATCCTGTTAAATGGAAGTGTACTTCGTCACTCATCATTATGACGACGTCAGGATCGTCAGCAAAAATGGCCCGCATTCTCGCACAAAATTCTCTACGCTGTGCAAAATCGCTTTCCGTTAGCTCTTGCACGATCATTATCTTGTACGGATGATATTGTAAATCGTCATGCAGAATGCGTTGTAACGACCGACGGGACATACGCAGAGTTGGAGCTTGGCGCCTAGTGGACCGTTGGGGACTATCAAGGACCGCTCTTCTCACTGTTTCGATATTGCCTGGAGTCCGCACGGTACGGGGAAGGCCAGGTGGCTTCCTCTTCATTACGGATCCAGTACTTCGAAATGCTTCAACCCATCGGAGTATTGTGTTTCGATTTGGAATTGGCCCGTGGCGTTCAACATTGAACTGTCGACGGAATAAACGTTGCACGATCACTACAGAATCATCGTTTCGAAAAAATTGCTCGACGGCAAACACACGATGCTCCGTCATCCACGGTGCCATGGCTGAAACTGCATCGCATGTAGTGATGTAAAATAATTAAGTAACGCTTACAAAATAATCGTTACAAATGAGTAACTAAATGTAACGAGTCCGACTTTTTGAAAAGACTCGTTACTTTTTATTTGAATTCGTTACTTTGAATGCGATACGGTCTTTTTCTATGTATACTTTTTAATTACTGTTAGTTACTACACTATACATTACTTTAGATACAAACGTTACTGGGATCTAATGTAGCCAGTACTGCCAGCGCCAGCAGCAAGTGACTTGGTTCTTGGATGTAAACTGGGAGGAAATGAAATGATGCGAATATCGTTAGGCTTAGGCAACTTTAGATACTCTTCTATCGAACGAGTTGCGGACTGCGGAGCTTTAGGTTGGCAATGTTTGTGTACACCTGTATACTTTTCATTTGACTGTGAGAGCTAGCGGTTGGCGGGTTGTTACTGGTTTGGACGTTGCCGTACAAGCTCGAACAATAATATAATTATTATTTGTACAAAAATATGGAATCATCTGCGTCCGGTTCAGGAGAATCGCAAAATCAAAAAAGAAGTGTTATTTGGATGCATTTCACCAATATATCGGAAGCTAATGCAAAGTCTAATCTTTGTAAAAATATTTATTCGCATAAAAATGGAAACATTAGCAATTTAAGGAAGCATTTGAAAACTAAACATCCGACTCTTTCATTGGAAGGAGAAAGGGCAAAACGGCGGGTGGAAGACGAAAATATGCCTAGGTGCAAAAAGAACTTAGTTTCAGGTATGTTTTATTATTATAAGTATTTTGTTGAACACCATTTACAGTGGAGTAACCAGACTGTTAAGTAGGGCAGGGGAGTAACCAGACTGTGAAGGCAGGAGACGCTACTCAACTAAAGTGAACAGTGAGGAGAGTGGTTCCTCCACGGTCCCCATCTGGTATGCCACTTGTTAAAAACTATTTACAGCGTACAGCCAACGAACCAGACGTCACACAACGACGAGTTTAAAATATAAGTACCTTCTACGTATCAAATATCAAAAAAATTAATAGGCAAGGCATTAGACAAAAAATAATAATTGGATCAATCCCAAAGTAATAATTTGATATAATATATAGAATTTAGGTTCTAAACGAAATGTCCAAATAGTAACTAAACTAACGAGTCCAAAGTTCGAAAGTAACGAGTCCTTACAAGTCCTAAAAAGTAACGAAACTTTGCATCACTAATCGCATGTGTTCTCTGCTGGCGGTGCGGCGAGGTCATATCCCTATTCTGTGCGAAATACCATTCGGTCAGAAAACATGCGTTTCCTCTGCGCCACACTGTACATAATATACACAGCAGAAATCCTAAGAAATATACAAAACGTCAAGGTACAATCGTACGCTGACGATATTCAAGTTTACTTTAGCTTTTCCATGAAAGACAAAGCTGCACCAGAACGAACTCTGAATGAAGAGCTTCAATCGATAAACACATTATCAGAGCAGCACAACCTAAAGCTCAACTCTAAGAAGACAAAAGTAATACTTTTTGGCAATAAAAATAGTATAAATATTCGTTGAAAATTACAAGCGAAGTGCTTAGTTTCTGTGATTCTTCTTGTAATTTATTCTTAACTGTCGATCCAAGCCTTCGTTTCTCACTCCATATTCAAACTCTTGTAGATAAAGCATTTAGTTCCCTCAAAATCATTTATAGCAGTCGACATTTCCTAAGTAAAAAACTAAAAAAAACTTTATGTGAGATCTTGGTGCTTAGTAATTTCAACTATTGTAGCTTTATTTATGGGCCGTGCTTGACTAGTGCTGACATAACGAAAATACAACGGTTTCAAAATAGCTACTGTAGGCAGATATACGAAATTAGGAAGTATGGCCCCATATCACACAAAATCTTAAAAGCATAACCTGTACGTGTATGTTTTCTGCGAATCCCTGTGTTGCTCTATGTTATTCAGCATATGTATACTTTTTTTCTGTCTAGCTCACATTGACTTTGACATATGTAATTACATATTATTATTCGCTTATTTGGGTGCTCCTCTCCAGTGGTTGAGTAGAGTATTTGTCAGCTAGACTTCGCCACTGGTATTATATATATATATATATATATATATATATATATATTATACGGAATTATCTTTGAAAATAAAAGACGGTTTATTATTATTATTATTATTATTATTATTATTATTATTATTATTTATGTGTGGATGCAACCCCTTTATCCTCATCTCCTAACAAGGTAATGCTTGAGGAGCCAAGGTTATTTGAAATTAAGCTCACTTTGGTGAAATCTTAGTGGTTTAAAAATCAAGGACTTGTTGCTGACGTCGCCAGAGCCAACATCATAAGGAGTGAATGTCAGTGCTACAAAAATTCCTAGCTACGCCTACTTTAGAATCACCTAAATCTTTAAAATAATTAACTTGGTGGTTTCAACGAACCTTCGCTCTACGAATATATATATTATGAAAGTTTTTTCCTGTGTGAAGCTTGCCTAAGAAAACCATATACATTCACACGAACGTAGAACATTTTTCATATTCTTTCTTTGCTGAAAACGCGGCTGTAAAAATGTTTTCATTTCGAGCCAATGCAAAAAGACGTGATAAATGTAGTAAGAGTTCTATCGAGGGAATGTATGTTTTCTCCCATTACTTTACAGCCAGAGATTTATTACTTGTTGAGGAAAGATCGTTGATATTGTGTAAGGTTTTTGTGTGCATAAATCTGATACGATCACATAGGGTGCACGATGGCAAATTCTATTCAGCTGTATAATTTTTGTGAGAGTAAACTGAAAAATCAAGTCATTAGGAGAAAAAGAAACTTGGTATTAGATAGTTAAATAGTGATCCACGAAGTAGTGACAATGAATGAATTTCATGACATGTATCAAAGTCGATATCTCGAATTGATGGTCAACCACGTACAACCATTTGGGTAGGACACCGAACGAAAGTCGAACGCCTATCCAGCGTAAAATAAATCGACCACTGTGAGAGCGAAAACAGGCTGCTGTACTGCAGTGACCGATTCTGGTAATAAATAGCACTTTGTGCTGTCTTATTTCTCAAACGATAAGTTATTCTGTATATATCAAAAATATTCCTGCTATGACCGATGTAACAGTTGCAGCGTTTGCAGATAATACAGCATTGACCGCAACTGACAATCTATCTGTTAGTCAAGTAAAGACTGCTACCAATAATTTAGTGGAATGCTCGCAGATGTGGAAATTCAAATTGAACGAATCATCCAAAGAAAAGAGGGAAGAACTGAAGATCGTCACAGCTATCGCTCCTTAACACAATTATGATCTACATACAGGGTGGCGCATCGAAAACGAAACAGACGCATTTACTGGCAACTCAGTTTTTTTTTTGTGAAACGCTCAGACCCGTCGATTTTGTTTTCGAGGGGGACACAAGTTTGGCAAAAAATCACGTTAGCACGTGCAAACCCCCTAAGCGGGGGTGCCACCACCCCCAAAATCTAAAGTGGAAAGGGGGGTCGAGTGATACCTTATTTTAAAGGTATTTCTTTATAATGATATAAAATTAATGTACTTCAGTTCAGTAGTTTTGAAGATTTATTGATTTAAAGCTTAAATAAAACTAATACATCATCATTAGTGGAGATCAATACATTTGACAGCAAAGTAATTTAAAAATGAAGAATGAACTGACCCGTTAGGCAAGTAAATGTTGAAAATGGCCACCATGACTCTCCATGCAATAATAAAGATTTTGCTCAAAACGTTGCCGCACATTTTGCAATATTTGATAGTAATTTGAAGGCATTCACAATTCTTTGTCGCAGGTCTTCTAATGATGTTGGCTGAGTAGCATAGATTTTGCTTTTTAAATGACCCCATATAAAGAAATTCAAAGATGATAAATCTGGCGATCTTGGGGGCCAGTCAATGGCACCTCTTCTATCAATCCATCTGATCTAAATATTGTCGAACACGTAATGCGTAATGTGGTGGGGCACCATCCTGTTGGAATATCAACCTATTCGCAATGTACCGCCGATCATTCTGATTTTCAATTCTGGCAGGATCTATGGCGTCTTCCAGTAATTTGAAATACATTTCACCGGTCAAATTTCCAGGTAAGAAAAAAGGACCAACTAAATGATGGCCAAAAATACCAGCCCAAACATTTAATTTTTGTCGCTGCTGTGTATGAACCTCATGATAAATTCTAGGATTAGAATCGGACCAATATCGGCAGTTATGACGATTTACTACGCCATTTAAGAAAAAGAAACATTCGTCGGAACAACAAGTGTTGGATAGAAAATGTTCATCGTTTATAACTCGTTCACTCATATCTTCACAAAATTGTAATCGCCGATCAAACTCGTCTTCATTAAGTTCTTGTACCAGGTGAATTTTATACGGATGAAAACTATGGGCCTTGAGAATCCGTTGGACAGTACGTCGACTAACACCACACACAGTCTCCAATTGGCGGGTACTTAACGTAGGATCTACATAAACTTGCCCTAAAACCCCCACTTCTATTGCTTCGTTCCTTAAAGGAATTTCAATGTCGCGTTTTTTATTGGCGACTGATCCAGTTTCCCGAAATTTAGCTACAAGTTCTAGAACATATTTTTGATGCACGTTACTGTTTTCATGTCGCTCATTAATATTTCCGCTGTTCTATTAGCGCACTGATTATTTCCGAAAAATGTTTCGATAATTTCGACTCTTTCTGCTGAGGAATATACCATGGGTAATTTATGTAATAAAGCGTTACAAGTTATTTTAGCATCAAAGTTTGGTCAAATCAATCGCAAACTATGTACTAAATTCCTATTTAAAATAAGTACGAGATATTTCCTTGTCTTTCTTCAAGAAATAACTTTTTTGCCACAAAAAACGCTCCAATAGCTATTTTCAACAACAAAATGATAAAAAAACCATGGGCGTAGTGAAGAAAAGCATTTAGTTATTAAGTAAATTATTTTTGTCAAATTTCTTCTGAAAGTAGTACAAACTAATCTGATGTACCTATTAAAGTCTACTTTAAGCTTTAAAACTACTGAACTGAAGTACATTAATTTTAAATCATTATAAAGAGAATTGAAAGACCTTTATAATACGGGTTTGAGCGTTTTTCAAACTAAAACTGAGCTGCCAGTAGATGCGTCTGTATCGTTTTCGATGCGCCACCCTGTATAATCAGATATTAAATCAGTGTGACTCTGCGGTTGCTAACTATGAGGTTGTTACAAGATTTCCAACATTGATATGGTAAATCCCGCTTCGTACGTTCGTAGTGGGGGTATTCGTCGCGATTTGAATACCTCTCTGGTTATCGACGAGATCAAGAAGGTAGCGACCAGACACGAAGTGGCTACATGAACAGCCTAATTCAGAAGCTCTTCACCTGCAACTACAATGCTGAGAGGTGAACTCCGAGAACATCGCTACGCGCGGCTATTCCCACGCTGTTGATTGTTTGATTTTTGGTTCAGCAGACGTCCAATATGGCGGTTATCTTTGTTCATGCCGCCTAGGGCGAGATTCGGTCCGTAATTCGGTTTCTGCATGCGTGCCTGGTGGCAAGTGTGTGTCCGTTGAACATGTTTGGAAGTCGGGCAAGCAGTTTAGAAGCGATCGAAAGGAAGTCCACGATGAAGACTGAGTGGACGACTGTCAGTTTCGAATGTGGTTAACAAGCCGCTCCAAGGCGAAGTGGGACAGGAGGATCACCGTTCGTTAGCTCCCAGGAATCTGAGCAACAAGATCCTCCGACACTGACAATCGCCTACTCCGTTCTTCACACTTGTCTCCATGCACTTCTGACAATATATATATATATATATATATATATATATATATATATATATATATATATATATATATATGAGTGGAGTTCCTTTGGCGTACAAAGAGCGAGTTAAGGAACGAATCTTGCATTTCGTGGGATGAAAAATGGGAAGCTCCATATTGGACGGTTGCAGTAATGTTAACTGGTTAAAAAAAACTTCCCTCAAGCTTATTTTAAAATCCTCTAAAATTAAATTGAAATGCCCTAACTTTTTAAAAAAGATTTAAATCAATTTATACAATTACAGTTCACATATTCTGTTCCTTAAAGATACATATTACTAAAATTTTAATTCATATTCTCTCTCCCAATTTTCTGTGTACTTTCAAGTATAATTAATGCTTTTATCAATTTTCTGAACATTTTTTTCTTGGTATTTTAAGTAACATTCACATACAAGTATCCTAAAGTAATAATTTTTACAGTTGTAAAGAACTGTGATGCTGTCCAGTTCATGAAATGACTCATGGAAAATAGAGATCTCAATGGGTCTTGATTTTACATAAGTTAGACGGAAAACTCTGATTTAAGAATTTATTTCTTACTCCCTAAAATATACGCTAATAAAAATTTACTCCAATGAAATACCATTTTTGAATCTTCCCTTCTAAATTTGGGGGCAAATTCCACAAGTTGGAATGATTGAGCGAGGCCGGGGAAATCGAGAGTGAGGAAACAGCCGCGTGTAGCATAGTTGCTGGATTTTGCCTCGCACCTTCCAGTATTATTCGTCATTTGTTTGTCTGGGCGGTCCGTAGGACCTTTGCCCATTAGTCGCTGTCTAATATACGTTAGTCGAATCTGTCAGTACTGGTTGCCCAGAAACCACACAATGTCAAGAAAAAAAGAAAGGGAAAGAGAAGAAAAATGGAGAAGAGCAAAGAAAAAACAGAAGTGTTTAGTTTAAGAGGAGACACCTAGGCTTTTTGACTTGGTACACGGTTTAACTTTGAGGTGAACAAAACAAAATTTGATTCGGTTTTGTTAGAGTGTAATTTTAAGTTTACTAAAAGTTCGCGCTAATTCTTGATTACAATGTGAGCCGTGGCCTTGTATGTTTACGAACTTGCTCCACTGTGTAGTCCACTGAGTCGCGCAACAGAGGTTTGCTGTGCGATTCCGCTTGACTATAACGTCGCTGCGCCTGATGTTTGACATAATCTCTCAAGTAAGGAATGTCAAGGTCTCTGTGTAGTGTCTCGTTTGAGACATACCATGGAGCGTTGCAAATTGTTCGTAAAGTTCTACTTTGCAGTACTTGAAGACTTTGCATATGTGTCTTGGCAAGAAAACACCAAGCCGCATATGCATATGTCATAACTGGTCTGATAATCATTTTATATAGGCGAACTTTGTCAAACTCAATTTGGAGGATCTACATAACAAAGGATATAGTTGCCAAAACGCAATTTGGAATTTTGTTTTCAAGGCTGCTGTATGTTTCTACCAGGTCATGTCTTTATCAAGGGTGACACCGAGGTACTTGGCAGAGTTTGTCCATGGTACATGATTGCCATCTACAGAGACCTCTGCTGGGGGGCCGCGACGTTTTTTGTTACAATAAATAGCCTGCGTTTTCGAATGATTAATTTTAATCAGCCACCGTTCCGCCTACTCTAGTACTTCTTCCACCGCACTCTGCAAGCCATCGTGAACCAGATCACCAGTACACGACTGGGCAGTGCAGTGAAGTGTCGTCAGCATAGAGATAGACTTCTCAGTGGCCGGGGCATGGATAACAAGCGAATAAAGGATTGGTCTTAGAACCGGCCCGTACTGGCCGTGTTGTTGACAGAACATTGTTAATTTTGATCCAAAACCTCCTTCTTTAAAGAAAGGATTTTAGTAATTTTAGAAGCCAAAAAGGAAAACTATTTTGGATTAGTTTATAAAGGAGGCCCGCGTGCCACACCTTGTCAAATGCTTTTGAGACATCCAAAAGCAAGATGCCAGTACTCATGCTGAGGGTGAGCCCTCTCGTTACATGTTCCATCAGCCTGACTGCCTGTAGCTCGGTGCTATGTTCGGACCGAAAACCGAATTGAACGTCAGGAATCACATGGTGATTTAACGAAAAATTCTCAAGGTGACGATAAATCACCTTTTCGGCGAGCTTAGAAGGAGCTGACAGCAGACTTATGGGACGGTAATCCTGAGGAAATATCGAACCCATCTTCTTTGGAATCATGATGACCTCAGCAGTCTTCCACCCAGCAGGGAAGTACTGGATTCTGAACGTCGCATTGAGTATTGTCACAAAATGAAAATATGTCAGGGCTTCAATGCCTTGTTGGTGATTTGATCCTCCCCAGGTGCTTTACGCACCTTGAGGTCTTTAATATGACTTAGGAGCTCCGCTGGTATGCAATGTGGAAACTCGGAGGGTTCCGCTAATGTGCTATGTCGAGCCTCAGACGGATCTTCTGAAGAAGAGTCATCTGAAGAGGATTCATCTGAAGAGGATTCAGTGCCTCCGCTAACGTCGTTGGCCTTAAAATATCTCCTGACGGATCGTACGATGTGCTGTTCCTCGTCGATGTCATTATCAGGGTCATAGTTGGGAGAGAACTGTTTTTCCATGGCATAAGCGAAAACCTCGACCTTATCCTCCGACAGGTAGATGGTCACTAGATATATCATACACGACTCGAGAAGAGATACTGTATCTACAGTTTTTAGATATCGCGAAGTCGATGACATCTGGTGCCTGAAGATGGTTGAATGGATGGTGTGTCGGTTCCTGAGTGCTATGTATAAGGTACCCACTTCGCATCACATGGTTATACAATCGAATCCCACTAGTGGATTTCAACCTAGAATTCCATGCTCGGTGTTTGCAGTTGAAGTCCCCTGCCACAATAAGCGGACCCGAGTAGTCCAATAGGATCTCCAGATCGGCCTCTTGTAGCCTGGCACCATACCTGACATACACCGATGTGATCTTCAACGAGACACCTCCCGCCATATTGACCACCACAGAAGCTGCTTCGATGCTATGCATCTCCGCATTAGTGCTTGTATAATAGTCTATACCGCGCTTAATCAACACTGCTAAACCGCCACCTCGACCATTCAGTCTGTCACCTCGGAAAACATCATAATTCGGGAGAGCTAAACGATCTCCCGGATTAAGCAACGTTTGCTGCAGCAAGGCCACATCTATACCTTCATCCAAAAGTGCTTGATGAAATTCCCGTTTTTTGGGAATATCCCTCATGCCCAAACAATTACAAAAAGAATTTTGATGAATGCAGGCTGTCTACTATTGTACCTAGACATTTACAGGAAATATCGCTTGCAACGCTTGGGTAGAGCTAATCAGAGGGGTTATTATTTGTTGTAAGGACCTTAGCGCGGTTGCGAGGTCCACATTTTGCATGCTCAAGGGAGGTGGGGCAGGCAAGGTTGCTTCCCTAGCTGCGTCCGCGTATGATGGATTGCGTCTTTGCGTTATAACTTGCAAGTTCCTCCTTGGAGTGAACCACCGCTTGGATGTTCCGTTCCGAAGTGAGCAGAAAAGTGTGATGGGGTACTTCTTTCTCTCGGAACAGTCTAACGATCTTACGATAGTCTTCCTCAGATTTAGGAATAATCCTTATTCCCACATCGACAGCAACCGCGCGATCTATGTTAATGCC